AAAAAAAAGAAGACGTTTCTTGGTACCGGTGTCGGACTCTTAATCATTGTCTGAATTTTCAAAAATGTTTCTTTGTCTGATAAAAAGTCACAGTTCGTATGGGGAAAAAAAAATTGCCAGCCGACCGACATTACACATCTCACCGACTTCAAAATTCTGCATCGATATAGTACACGAGGATCGAACAAGAATACCGACACAGCAACATAATTATCTTCCTTGCTCCCTCGACGAGGCGACTCCACCCAACAAACCCCACTATCTTACTCCCACCCCTCCTCTCTCAGGCCCTTACCCCTCTCTCTCTCTCTTTCACCCCCGTTTCTTGTCCCCCTTTCTTTATTTTCCTCTTTCCTCTCATTCCCCTTTTTCTTTGTTTCTTTCTTTGTTATCTTTCTTTTCTTTCTTTTCTTTCCTTCCTTTCCTTTTCTTTCGCTCTCATTCCCCTTCCCCTTTTCCCATTTCCCCGACTGCAGCGCAATTTTACCGACAATATCCCGACAGGTGGGGGGGGGGGGGGTGTCGCACCCCACACTGCCCTTAGCGTCGCCCCTGGACCGTGCATAATCGTTACTTATTTTCAAAAATTTTCATTCCAAAAATTCCATGTATATACTTCAACTGGACTATCGTTTGCTAAATGATTTTCATCAAATGATTTATAGTCACGAAAACGACGAGTTTATGTTGTTCCTTTCAATCATAATGTTAATAAATGTATAAATCATATAATGATCACTCATGGAAATGTTTGCGACATCACATATAATGTGCTTCTGAGAGATTGAACTTAACAAATCTTACAAGTTGATGATAAAGTAGTTACTCTATAGTTGGCTTGTTTATCATTTGTGTTAAAAGGAATAGGTTTTCTATGAGATTAATTTGATTTTGATTTTGATGCCGGGTCAATGATAAACTATTGTGTTGTCATAATAAACTGACAGGCTTATAATCGGGCTGTCTTGGTAAGTATTCATTTATCTCATGTAGTAATTGTTTTCTTATTATTATTACGGTCGGTAACCCAACATTAACAAACTTTATCGTTGAGTTTTTTTTTTTTTTTTTTTTTAAGTGCATTTAGCCAAAGGCATTAAAGGTGACATCTGAACAGTGACGTAGGTATATACAGCGCCCCTGGTGGAAAGCATGTTTGTAGCTGACAATACTATCCTCTTTTATCCTATGGAAATAAAATTACAAATAATCGGTCAATTAGTTGAATAAATAAAAGGAGTCGCGTTTTGAGTGTAGCATGAACTTTATAATACCGTTGCTGGACTTTGCCTGTCTAGACTGCATGTCAATAATAATGTACGTTCTTAGCCATGGACAATATTTTTCAAATTGATACCCAGGATTACACAATGTTGTAAATATTTCGTAAAATAAATGGACGATAATACATTAATACATAATATATAGCCCTTTTTGATCCGGGCCATAATTTTTTTATAGGAACTTAAATTAATAGCCGATTAACGATTAACTATACCATAAAAAATAAACATTATTTTTCGAGAAAATATCCTATAACATTTAGATAGCTAAGTTTTAAATGATTCGCGGTTTTAAATGATGCACGGACTTTGCTCCATAATATTATTGTGGCCTTTACGGTTCCTCGATCGCAACGATATCAGAATATACATACGCAATAAAATGTAGTATAGAAATTAACTAACACACGTTTAAAGTGAAATGACGCAAAACCAAGAGCTGTCGATTTGATTTGATTTGATTTATTTCCTTCTGCATTCCACATAAATATAAACAATTCCTGTAAACATGAAATACTAAAAAGTAAAACACCTTTCCCCGTTTAACACCATTGGCAAATTAACCTTTGATCACCTTCCGCGGAGGGATATGCTTATCAAATATATATAATGCTCACCCTTTCATGAGGAAGCATCATTTCGGTGAGTGGATGCAGGACAATGCATGTTCCTCGACATTGTAATTTTGGAAACCCGACCACAACAATGAAAGCTGACATTGATGATGCGGAATGTTCCATTCCAATGGAAGCTGAAAAGCGGCCGCCCAAAACCAATCATGACGATAGGTGAGTCAAATTGGAAGTTGTATATGAATGATAATCAAGAGTGTCTTTTTCAAATTTCTACAATACAAATGTGATGAGCAGTGATCTAGGAGTTTTAAAAATCGTCTATCATCGTATTCTCTTATTGTTCTCCTCCCCCCCCTTCTTTTCTTTTCTGGTCTTTCCTCCTCAACTCCTCCCATCTCCTTTATTATCATTTTGCTTCTTAATTTGTCCAGCCTCTTCTGTCCTTTTCCTTTCCCTCCTTTTTACAATTACATTAACTCTATATGTATGAGATATAACATAGTAACTGACAGGGAAAGGGTACATCTCACTGATGGTCCCGTGTCATGATTTCTTTTCTCACCTATAGCTGCCCCCCCCCCTCCATAATCGTTTTTGTCAGAGGCATGGTAATTTTTAACCAGGCTGAAAACCAAAGTTAAACGAAAATTAATATGCCCTCTTCCGAATTGTCATGGA